CTCATAATTAATTGTAAATTCAAATAAATGAAGAAATTCTCAGGTCCATGTCTAACAGCTGTACATGCAATTCAGTATTACCCTATTTTTATGTAATACTACGAAGATTAAATCTCAATTCCGCGAGGGTAAAAGCAAATTCCCTCGTGAAGTTGAGTTTTCCGCAATTATTAAAAGGTCAATATTTGACGGGCAAATGAAATTTCGCCCGTTGGGCGGGCAGTTTATCTGCTTCACTTAAATTAAATAACCCCTGAAGCCTCGATAAAAGAAAAATATTTTCCTCAAGTTATCCTCGAACCTTCAGCATTGACAAAATACTCCCCATGACGTCAATACCCAATATCCATGTTTATTTGATTGTTATCAAATGAAGAATCTCTGAAAAAGTCTATTTCCCTAGTTTAAACGGTTTTCAAAAAGTTTTGCATTGATTTATACTTTTATTCTCCATAAAAACGAATGCGGAATGATGAAAAATGAGATATGCTTCCCCGGAAAGTACCTGAAACCATCATAATCCATATCGACCCAGGGGATCGAATCCACAACTCCCCCGCAGCCCAGAAGTTGCCGCGACTGTCGATAAAACCTCGCGGGATAGAGATTACCGTTTTGGACCTTTATATACCTACCTCCTACCTCCTACCTCCCCCCCTCATCCCCCTTTTTTCTTACCATTTCCGTACATGCATGCTTTCCGTACATGCTCCTGACCAACTTCCCTAATAAATCTGTCCTGCGTTTAAAATCAGCCGAATGGAATATCAAAAAAAAAAGCGAATGAAAAAACTTCATCCAGTCAATTCGTAAGTTTTTTAAATGGTCTCGACGCCATATCACGAATACTTTGTGAAGAGAACTTGAAATGTACTCAGCAATGGTATTGTATTTTTTTTTACGTTGACGCGGGTAAAAAAATTGCAGTGCTGGATCAAAAGCTTCGGATTTTTCAGTTCTTCCTCTTCAAATGCACACCGCACTAATTAATTTTAATCTTCAATCGTGGCGCAATGAGATAATTCAAGTACCTCTCGGTACAGCTGGTATAACAATAATGGGATTGAAATCCACAATCATTAGGCTTTGACCTTGTATACTCGAGTGATTGTGTACAAAATAATTTCCAAATAGTCCATGCTTTGACAACATTGAGTGGTGATTAAAATTGCAGTCCACATATTCTGCTTTCAGATTTTTATCGAACGTCGTGTATTGTATCAGCCATTTATCGTTGACCGCAATAAACTTATTGATTTGCCCCAATGCGTGGGACATATTGACAGGACAATTGCGTTTTTTCATAATTTTTACGCAATAATCAATAATTTGAGGATTATTAATCGGTTTTTGAACATGAAAAAATATTTTTACTCCACGCAACTCGATCTGCCGATTGTATTTCTCATTGATACTCTCGAAATTGACGAGAATTCATTTGCTTTTCAGTTCTGTATCATTTATTTGAGTGTTGAGTGAAGTGGAGCAGAAGTTGGCAAGTGCGTCAAAGAGACCTCTCTCATATTCTCATTGCACTCGGTAAACTGATACCTGAGACATTCATAACCAAATGCGACAATAATTACGTACAATTTCTGACGATTCCGCGAGAAACGCTTTCAAGACGGTCTTCAGAATATGATTGAATTTTTATTTGAATTTTCTCATTAAGTGGAGTCTACACTTTTATCTTTGAGAAAAGCCCAGCCATTTCCTATCCATTAACGTTTCGTGATGAGATTTGAATTTCGACAATTAAATCTCCTGGAAAAGACTCCACTCACCTCGGGCATTTCTTTTATTCTCATTATCCTGTTTTTTATTTCCATTTTTTTTATTACGCAAAATCTCGGGGCTGTGATAAGACTGTTGGAGAGAAGGAGTCTCTGGGGATGAGTTTTCGCTCGATAAAATTTTATGGGAACAAGAATAATTATCATCTTTAATTGGTGCAATTGCACTTGTTCCCCGATATCAATGGATTGGCCAAAAGTAATTGTTTTTCTCAGTGCTCTTTTCATTGAAAAATCGCCGATTGATGTTCAACTCCACACAACATTGAAAGTCAAACTTGGCCCCTACCGCGGCTGCACCACAATCTCCAACAAATAAAGGATTTCACCGAGGGAATACAAATGGAATTGTTCACCGGATAGTTTTGTCTTATCGACGTCAGTTGGCCGTTTCAGTAACTGCATAGTTTTCACAGTAAATCGGTATTCCCGGTGGAGGGCCTTATCGAGGAAACGTCTTGCACTATTGTTGGACCAGCTACCCGGTGCTCCATTACTCCACTGAGGCATTAAATGACGTTGAAACTTGCCGGGGAATATCTACAACTACGGTTTGCTCGTGGTTTCTACGGAGCTTTTCATACGACCGAATCATCAAATGCGGGCTGACCATTCCCATCTGGTACTTGCCCACATTAAATGTCCGGCTGTTGTGGAATCCGCTCCACTTGATCAAGTCCATCCACCCATTGTTCCTCACTCTGAAAATTACACAAATGCCTGGCACCCCTCAAAATAGTTCATATCCAATTCACGAATACTCCAATATGATTTTTATTTAATCGACGGAATTGCAACGGCAATTCTTTATAATAAAATTATTTGGACTTTGCTTTCAACTTTGAAACTGTCACAATTAATCGAAACGTGTTGGTCTATTCATGAAATAAAAAATAACCGTCCGGTTGTTTTCGGTTGAAGAGTGCGAATTTATTTTTATTTTGTCGATTCGGTGAGTCGCCGTCGGTTGCGGAATAATTTGTTGTACCCAACTCTTCGCATTCATTGCAAATGATTTTTTAACCAATCCCCTTTTCAGTGGAAAATCGAATGTTTCGTTTCATTTCTCTCTCTCTCTCTCTCTTTTAATTTCCTTTTTTTCATCTAGACGTGGGGTTCAACTCAATTTCTACCATCGATCCGTTTGAATTTACATACGTTGCAATCGGTGCACTTTCTGGTACACCTTCAAAATGAGTTTACGACGAGTAGCATTGCCGCCCTCTCGAAAACGGGTGATTGTCGGGGAGGCCAAACCCCCAGTGAAAAAACGAATTTCTCTCATGTCGTATGTACGAGGAGTTGTTGGGTAAATCGTGAACTTTTCCCATAGGTTTTTTCGTTCAATTTTTTGCGGTTCGTTCGCGGGGATCAGCGGATTCCGCTCAATAGAACTCAATTTATCGAGAATGTAGAACATGATCGGAGTTCAACAACAAAAAAAAGTGAATTTCTAGAAATAAAAGCTGTACCGCAATTCTTAATGATTCCCAACAATTTATAAAAATCCAAAAATATCAATTGCAGTTATTTCTTTTTTTCATAAAAAAAAATTCTACCATTTTATTTAATTAATTATTTTAATTATCATTGAGTAGAATTGCTCGATTTAATAGTGGGATAGTAAGAATGTAAGTGTCAATATTGGTATGTCACGTACAAGCGTATGTATTCCTCAGGTGAGTTTTACGATTTTCGTTGGTGAAAACTCAGCCCGGAAAACTCCCAGAAAGCTTTCCCCGGTTTTCCTAGGTAACACGCGACCGGGATTTCCACGAACATTCTCTCACAGATGTAACATGGAGAAGGAAAAGGGCAAAAGAATTGAAACAAGAGAGACCATTACTCCATTATTTTATTACACCCGTGACATTTATTGCTAAATCGTTTTTCTTTATTTAAGACTCTCCCCGGAGCCCTAACATTTTTTAATGAAAAAAAAAATGTAAATCCCCTGGTTTATTATTTTGTTTATTAACCCAAAATTTTATTAATAAACAGTCGCCCAGTTTTAACGGGCAGAAAAACCAAAAGGGAATTTACGATCGTCGAATAAAATGTTGACTTTTTTTTTTGTTTCACATTTTCCCTTTTTTGTAGTCGAAGGGTGAGCCCCGGCGACAGTTCATTTGCAATTTTATCACGTTCATTCTAACGACTTCACAATGTTCACACGTCTCTCCTCTTCTCCATACTCTTAAATATGGAGCTATACGTTTTGAATTTTGTAGCGGAGTGATAAAAGCACAGGTGAAAAATATCGTGAGCTTTATGTCGCTGATATCTCGGAGAATACCCCAGACGAAAATATCGGAAAGCCTTCTATCGGAGTTCACGGGATTTTCTCTGGAAAGAAAGCGTGATGGATTCGCAGGAAGAAAATCTGATTTCATCAGCCAACCGAATTTCCGCTGGAAATCATTTTTTTTTCTCAGTTAGAGATCGAAATGTGTCGCGAGTGTTCAGATAACAATGGAGAATTTCCCACGATAAACTCATTACATTTCTGGAAATGTAAACGGCACAATGAATATATGAATTAGTCTGTAAAATTACGCGAAACATGACTCCTTGGAGTGGGTGTACCCGGGATTTTTTCAATTAGGCAAGTGAAATGGCTCGTGTATCTCGGTTGAAATTTTCCTCGGGATTTCTCTCTTAAGCATTACATACCTCTTCACTTTCAGGCTCTGCACTTACAAACGCGTACGGTTTTTGAGTGAACTTGAGGCTGCACTTGGCAAAGTGGGTAGAAGGGGGTTGTAACTCGGATAGTAAATTCACAAAAGCCGAATGTAATAACCCGAGAAACGACGTTAGCCCGTGTTGATGTCAATGTTTGACGCTAACCGCGGGTTTTATATGCTCAAATTTTCCTGGAAATAAACGTTTTAATCTCATCCCTAGGAGGCATAATAAACAGTAGAATGGGGGAAGATATTTCCTCGTGAAAACACCCCAATTTTGACATTGCGATGAGAAATTCGTGTTGAAATTATCATTTTACAACGGCTCACTGTCGTTTACTCATTTTTTATTTCTGCAACAGTTATTACCGAGAATTGTTTTGTCAATTATTTTTTTTCCTATTTCAATCAATCAATCGATTCTCGCAGTTAATGAGAGTAAAAAGTATCAGTCCTCAGTCATTACCACAAAATAGATGAAATCCATGAGCTAATGAACTGTTTTTTCCCTGAATTTCAGGCTCGACCAACCGGTGACCACCTCGACGCCCGGAATGGACGACAAAAAGGTCAGTACCATGAAAAAAAATTAACTCGACCTTTCACCCCTCTATTCGTTGAAGTACCGTTGCATTCCAATTGAGCAAAACTATTCAACGAAATCACGAGAATAGACTCCCGGGTCAATGAAATTTTCCTACAGGACGGGGTCTTCATGGTGTGTCTCGAATGTACCTCGTCTGTCAGAAGAAATTTTCCCCCAGACGACATGGAATGAGAGAAAAGGAAAATGTCAGACACACGAGTAAATAAGAACGAATGGCAGAGAAGAGGGAATGGAAAATAATTCCAGTTTGTGTTATTTTTTTTTTAATTTTTTTTTTCTATTTTCTATTACATGGCAGGGGTGGGGAGTGGAATGGGGGCCTCTCTTTATCATCCCCTAGTGCACGACACAATAAGATTTTCCAGATTGAATCCAGTGTACCTCCACTACTCGGTAAATTAGGAACACAAGTGGGTCCTTCTATAATACTATATAACAAGCCTGACTGGTACACAATTCAACGGTCCATCCACTTCACTCTACTTCAATGATTTGAAATAACCCTCCAGTGCAAATTGTCCAACCAATTTTTTCGCTGAGATGATGATTAATTTTCGACTTGCTTGAGCAATATAAAAATTCAATTCAATCAAGTGGAGAATGAAAAATAATCGATTCGCTTGAAATTAGTTTTTTCTTGGAGAGAAAACATTGAGTGGAGATCTAATAAAAATTATGGAACTTGATTTTCTGAAATAATACCTGGAAATAATTGATAACTGGTGTAACAAAATTAGCAAAATTGTCACGCGTCTGTCTTGTCATTATCCCCAGAGGTGTCTCTTCGTGGCAGTGAGAGATCCGAGTGAAAATTATCGAGACTAAAATTAGACGGTATGTCAGAATACTAAAACATGCATATAATTAATGGCAGTGACATTTTCAGCTCGAATTAATTATATACCTTTACACTTAACCCCGCGTTCTCTATCGGGTGGAAACCCTTTATCATGTCGAGGTGATCCGCAAAGCGGCGATTTATTCGCATACCTATATAATCTATATAATCTATATAATATAATTTATTTTATATTTATTGACGACTAAAATGATTGGATTTGCACTTTTTTTTCGGGGAGAATCCATCAATTCTTTACTATCCCAGGATAATAAATTTTCTTACCAAACAAAATAATAAACTTGGATGTTATTATTTCCTCCCCTACCAATTACCAGCTTACATCCTCCAACTTACCCCAACTCGAGTTTTGTTAAAAGGGTATCGATAACTTCATTACCACCCGCCAATCTACTTTAGCCCCACTGGGCTTTTCCCAAAGTTTAAAGACACGCGAGACCCGCCATTACTGCCATACCTATCACTCGAAAATTTTCCAGGCTTTTGAAACTCCCACCTCACACCCCCCACACCTATCCCCGCAATTAACACCATTAAACTCGATACACAATCGTTTCAATCCCGCCTTTCATCGACTTGAATTCCACCTCCATAATTTCAATTCTCTTCAATATTCAAATTCGCCAAAATTTCCTCAATAAGTCAATGTTAATAATTAATTTAATTAGAGATTCTCCAAAGCTCTCAGCTGTCTGTAATGCCCTCCATAATTTATTCACTAAATTTCCAGTTCGAAAATTCATTAAAAATTTACCATGGCTTAGTAAAACTAAAAATGTGGAAGTCATACATTCTTGATTACACCGAGGAAAATAAAGAATTAAAAAATGGCAGATCTCTCATTCGTCGAAACGCCACTGGGGATTGCATGCTCTCTTACTTCTATCGCACGAAATCCTCTTCCCTCTTTCCACACCAATTACCCTGTCGTTTTACCCTCAATCGTTGTGCGCAATCCTAATTTCTGTGTCTCACCACAAACTTCCTGGGAAGAGAGGGAAGATAAAAAAAAAAGCGAGGAAAAGATGGGCAAAAAACCAACGACGGGGAGAAAAAGTTGAAATAAAAAAGCAGAGTAATGCATAGAATAATGGAGCGTGACGGGTTGTACGAGTATGGGAGGAGGATGAAGGGGGTAGAAGTAGGAAAAAAGGATTTAGAGGAAAGAGTACGAGCGAGCTTCGTCCACGTCGCCATTAGTGCTTTCCCTCGTGTATATCACCCTTAATTACAACGGGGTAATTTCTTTTCTCTCGCCCGTAGAAAATTGCTTCCGCTTATCTCTTACATATACTTATTTTTTACATTTTTCTATGATTTTTTTTAACCCCCTCAGACTCCCAGTTTATTTTTACGTTTTTATCCACTGGAATTCTGCTACCTGGGAATGTCTTTATTCTCATCTCCATTTGCATCGAAAATACTGGGGTTTTTTCACGTTTTATGGTGATATAAAATGCATTCGGTGGGATGATAATAGCGCTGAGAATATGGAATGAGAGCTTTTGTTCTTTGAGGGCAATGGCAAGTTTTTGGATTAGGACGGGGATTTTTTTTGGTCTTCAATATTTCGGGATTGAAAAGTTCTGTAATGATGGGGTGTTATCTGAAATGTTGGAGGCAAAGAAATTGAATAGTTCCATTTCGAATTAAATTTCGAAAACTAAGAAATCATTGACATTACAAAATCTTTGATCTTTCAAATTAAATTATCCGTAAAATATGACGTAATAATGCTTATGATTATTTAAATGTATGAAATTTCAATTTTTACGTTTTATTTGTCATAAATGTAGACTTTTCCCAATTTTCATTATAAAATTTCGATTTTTATTATATTTGATAACTACATGATTCCTCTGAGATACTATTTATCCATTGCTTTGGAATACTTTGAGGATATAAAGCACGAGGAAATATGCGGCGGATACCATCGATATCTTTTCACTTGGGAATTACGTATTGCGAGATTTCTCTTCACTCGCCTCCTCCATCGTATCGTATTTCCATTTTCATATTTTTTTTTTGTTCTGTCACGTTGCGCTCTCATATTTATTCCATCCACCTCATTTTCTTTGACATGTGCGAAGCCCCATGATAATAATGTCGCGATGGAAAATTGTAACCGAGACGAGAGTACTGAAATATGAATAAAAATTCATGGAAATTCCCAATGAGAATTCTAATTCATTCTGAACGATATCCAATCAAGCCTCAAATTATATTTTATATTACACACCGGATTGCGATTTAATTCCAAGTAAATTCCAAGTGAATTGTCCAAGGGGATGGAAGAGTAATTCGATTAAATAGTTGTCAAGTGTTGCATTGGAGATAGCGGATCACGAAGGTCGATTTTATGTTGAGTCCGTGTCAGAGTCATTCCCTTCGGATGGGGTTTGATCCCGACAGGGGATGCAAGCAGAGCAAGGGACAAGATCGGTGGAAAGACGATGGGGTAAAATGCGGAATATCCGGGGACGTGGAAAATGGCAGTGAAACCCCTTCTGTCTGTTGGTTGGTGATCGGTTGAGCGCGAGAGACTAGTGCACGGATGGACGCTCGGCGTTGTTCTGGCTCCAGTGGGGGTTGAAGGGGGTTAGGAGGGGGTTAAAATGGGGATGGGGGAGTTGAAGGGGGTTAGGAGGGGGTTTAAAAGGGGATTGGGGGGGGTTAAAAGGGGGGGATAAAGGAGAGTAAGGAGGGAGAGATAGATAGATGAGAGGGACATTGTCGCCGCATAGTTGTTGGTCGTAATCGGGGAGTGTGGGGTGTGAGAGCAGTGAAGGACTTGGCCATTCGCTGCAATGTGCAGTATGACGTTGGTTGTTTGCCGGATCGATTTTACCCTGGAAGATTGGAGACTCAGAGATAGTAGGGGTAGGTCGAGCCCTTTTATGATGCCGACTACGTCCGTTGGAATCACTCTTGTAATTTCATTACACCCACCAACGTACAGACGGTACTTCCATTCTGATTCTCTTGTTCCATAGTTAAGTCCGCGTATTTATCCGCTACGATAAATAATTTGATTGGCCTGAATCAAATGTTCTAATGAGGCATTATTCCCGGCAATTGGCGGAATTTTTAATGGCTGTAATGCGAATTGAGAATTCGAGTTGGAATCCTTCTTGAGTGGATTGAGCTGCGTCTGTTGGTGATGAATGAATTTTATTTTTAATGGAATTTTTAGTTCTGGTAGGCAGAGACTTTTTTGTGCATTTCTAATCTACTGAAAAAATCACAGAAAAATTAATGTAACAGCGGGAACTCTCGCCTCATCTGTCACTTCATTTTAATTGGGTCAAGCTGTGAAAAATTAGTCGCGATTAATGTATTTTCAACGGAAAATGTTTTTCGTTGAGTGGGAGTTTCAATTTCCATTAGGATTTCTCAGTTCCTAAAAAGTGGTGGTGAGATAAATTTTGGAAATATAAAAGACGACAGCTTTTACCCGACTTCCGTGGTAGTTCCATGTGCTATCATGCATGCAGCTCATACCACTACCTATTTCAGCCAGAGTATGTGCACTCCAGTGCAATTGGCGTCGGTTTTCCCCGGTGCAGGAGTGAAGATGTTTTTCCACCTCAAACATTACAGCCTCACGGCGCCTCCGAGTCTCATACATTCGAGGATTTTTGAGGGCTAATGTTTGCCAAAGTACACACTGAAAATTTAACCATAAAATACCGACTCATAGACGTCATTTATCTTTCCAATCCTTAATTTACTAAATTAACAATCGCATAATTCCATATATTTCCAGTACAGTCAGTGGTGTAAATAAATTAGCAATTGATTTCTGAATAAATCTCTATATTTCCATCGAGGCAGCGGTTATGGAAATTATGACCTATCCGGGTCTGAAATCGTAATTACCGTTTAGTCTTTTGCGTGCAAAATGTTTACCGACTGTGAGGGAATCCCCTCCACTTATTGCAAATGGTAAATATGACGGAGGATTTTATCGCGCGGGTTAAAGTGAGTGTTCATTTCCGAGATGCCATTATTCAACTCGATTATTTGATCCTGCAGGGAAATGAGTTATTTATTAGTACTGGGTAATGTCTAATGGTGGAGAGGACGTATTGACACTTACCGATAAGCCGCACGAGGTGGTGAGAGGGTGGGGTAAATCAATCACAACCTCGTAAATCCCTCCGTCGCTCAACTTAACTCGATTAATTAATCCATTCATGCGCGTTTCAAACCATTCAAGTTGCATTGATCTCATTTGATTGAATATTCAAACTATTTAATTGCGGACTGGGGTAAAAAAAATATTGTAATCGAAATACTTTTTCCGAATTTTCAAAAAATTTCTGAAAAACTTTTCAAAACATTTTTTTATGAAACAAAAAAAAATGGAAAGCAAAACAATTTTATTTTCTGGAAAGTTGATAGTCTGTTGATAAAAATATAAAAATTTCAGGTATCGTGGAAATTCGGTGGAATTTGAAAAATTGAAGGGAAAAATTCGAGTGAAGTCAGAAATTTTCAGGTACTTGTTAACGAGCAACTCCGTGAGTATATTGGTGGTATTATTCCTCACCAGCATTACTCAACTTGTTTTCCGATAGGGCATACAAATTGTCCCTCGTTACATCCCTTCAATCGCCAATATTTTATACGATTCCCTCCCCCTTTTTTTCACTCTTTCTTGTTCAAATTCCCTAGTGACAGGGAAAACGAGCTACATCTGCCTGCCCGCGGGGACTCATTAATCAACACAGATTTGCCGATTTTTTGCGTGCGATTTTTCCTACTTTTCATTTTTATTGGTTTTCACGAGTGTGTATGACGTTTTTAGATGATTGAAGAAGAAATTTCTGCAGGGAATAGAGTCGATAATTTTAATGGGGCTAGTAGTGTCGTATTCCTGCAGTGGAGATTTATAACTTATAAAATGGCAATGACTGTGACATAATTTAAAAGCTCTCCGGCAAATCACGTATTAGATATTTAATTCCGAAGGGGATACGACTCCCAAGGAGGGAATTCACCGAGGAAAATGAAATTCTAATGGACTCGTTGAATTTGATTTTTCCAGGTCGTCCAGACGGCGCCGACGTCAGGAACAGGACAACCGCTGCGTCCAAAAAGTAGTCTAGATACGAGTGGTGTAGTGGCATCAATTTCAGGTGTAAGAAGACGAAGTGGACCCCAGGGCTTACGTTCACCAGCGGCCAAGAGGCCGTTATCAGCTCCAGTAGCTCTTCAAGGATGGCTGCACAAACAGGGCTCAGAAGGTCTCATGTTATGGAAGAAACGGTGGTTCGTCCTATCCGAGTACTGTCTCTTCTACTACAAAGGTGAGATTCAACCCCATCCCCTCACCGATCCCATAAAAATGATAACGTATGAGGTGAAAAGTTACTTCCATTAGTTTTCCATCGCGTTTGTCCCGATGTCCTCAAAGTCGTTATCACAGAGAATTCAAGATAGAAGCCGGATCGCTTGAAAGACTCGTTGAAAAACTTGAAGAAAAAACCCCGAGTTGAGCGTTCTCCTTAGTCGTGCATCTTCAAGGCATACGAGAATGCTCGGAATGAAAAAGAAAGCCTCGACACCTTTAATAATGCAGATCCTTCAGAGACGTGAATTCCTCTCACTATTTTTGGTATCTCTTTCTATGAAAGTTGCTCGCTCCACTGAGACCTCCTCCACCACTGAATGGCATTCACCGTTGGCACTCAAATTATTCGTATAAATTTGCTATTACAGCTTGCTACGGGGATACCTCTCGCAAATTGTCCTTTGAGTTCATCAGCATGAATTTGAATTTTCCTTTAATTATTTATATTGCCTGTCTACTGTGCAGTGATAACTGATGGGAATATCCGTTGCAATGCACAATTGAATATTTCGAAATAAATCTGTCTCAGGACCGGAGGAAGAGAAACTACTGGGATCGATTCTGTTGCCATCGTACCGGGTTACGGCTTGCAAACCCGAGGACAAGGTCAACAAGAAGTTTGCCTTCAAGGCGGAACATGCTAACATGAGGACGTATCACTTTGCAGCTGACACGAGGGAGAGTATGAATCAGTGGGTCAATGCACTGACACTTGCATCACTACTTCAGGATCCCAATCCGTAAGCCGATCAACTTCAATTATCTATTCACTAATCCCTCGATTATGGTAATTGCGTAATTACCGGATTTCATTACCAGAAGCAAAATGTTGCTTTCTCTCTTTATTCTTCAGTTTCAAACGTATTTTCGAAAAAATGCGAATTGTATTCCTCCACTTGTATCACCTCAGGGTCGAATTATTAATGCAATATGCAATTAAAACATACACCATAAGTACCGTTGAACAAATTCGTTGTATTCTATTGCAGAACAATTTTGTATAGTTTAATTTTCCCTCAGTGAAACTCTTGGCATTACCCTTTGTACCTGTGGACACATAAGCCATGTTTTCGAGAGTATTCACTGGAGTTGAAACATTTGATTCTATTGCCCCGAAAGCTTCCAAGTTCAATTCTAAGCGACCCTGGAAATTCTACAGTGAATAACTGTCAAAATCCACCCTAGAGTGACTTGGCTTTTGATCATGCGACAAAGTTCGAGATACTTACCATTACTATTGAAATGTGTTAACCAAATTGTGGGACTTGTTAACATTGAGGTTCTAACTTCTGCATTAATTGGAACTTCAACACAATGAATCCCTCACCACTCGCGTTTATCGAAAAAATTACGAAGCGATACTTAATGAATAACTTCGGTAAATTAGGAGCAATGCAGGAGAGCAGGTGCCTGTAGAGCTAGCTGGACCAGCGGATGGTGATCGCAGTGCACGTCCAAGTGTCTCATCGATATCTTCGATTCTCAACCAAAGTGCTGACGACAGCGATTCAGGCTTTCACGGGTTTCAGTCCCGCGATGACCCGAGCCAATCCAACAACAACTCAAGTCCCAACAGTATAAATACCGCATCATTTCCAAATCTAAGTGCCAGTAACAGTAATCACGGTAATGTTAACAATAATAGCCCTGAGAAGGGATTCGAGGAGTGTCAGCCACAGCCAATGGTCAATGGATGGATGCAGCCACCTCCTCAGTTTAGTCAACCGAGTACATCTCAGCATTACGGCCACATCCAGAGTCCGGGACATCCTCAGCATCCACAGCATCAAGCTCTGATGCATCAGTACATGACGCGACAACAGATACAACCTGGTCCAAGCAATGTTCAAACTGTTCAACCGATGCCTAGAAATTTTGGTCAACCTGTTTACGCTAATGCACCACCAAAACCAAGAAGACTGACCGATGGATCCACGGATTACTCAACTCCATCGCCAGATCCGGATTTTCGTAAATCACCGGTTCAGCCTGGCATGAGAATGACAGCCAAGTCACCGATTTTGGAATACGATCGGGGAAATGCCATTTATGCCTCGAGGCTGGCACAACAGCAGAACACACCGACTTTGAGGACGGATAAGTCGGGACTCAATTATGGGTATGGACAGACACAGCCTGCTGAGAGGAGAACACCGGATACGTATGGGAGGAGTGCACAGCCCAGAGTGGCTAGAGGCAATGGGGACTATGAGGATGTTTATGCTGGGCCGCAGTTGTACCAAAGGCCAGCAGGACCTGTCGGATACACCAAAGGACCAGCACCTGTACCCATTTCGATACCCGTTTATGCGGTGCAGGGACAGACCTGTCCGAATAGTATAACTGTCAATGGTGAGTCTCTTTTTCATCCGTTAATTGCACTGATAAAGCGAATTCGTTATCGGTAATCCGCCCATCGAATGAATTTGATTGAAAGTTAGGCTCAATTCGGTCTACCATTCATGTCCCGATATGTAACGAATTTACATTTGAAAAGCCATTTTTAACCCGATTATCATCCTTCACGTGATAATTACATTTGGAATACATGAATTTGGAATAAAGTTCTAATATCGTTTGACATGAATTTTCGCTTGATTACTTCTCGGTGGTTGGGTAAATGAATTTAAGAGTTGAGAACAAAGTTGAAATGCATTTTTTTTCTCCACGGTTAGGACCTGTAATGAGACAACAAAAGGTCCAACCACCTCCTCGACCACACAGTGCCGATTTCCTCGAGTATGAGGCAACAAGAAGGCCAACCTCCCAAACGGCCGACCAGTCTGGAGTTCAAAACCAACAGAGACGACCGCAACGACCGAAATCGAGTTTGGACGTTGTACCCTCGTCCGAAATTACTTCACCCAATGGAGACGGTTATTTCTACTCGGAAGAGAGGTAATAACAAATTTTCGAGCGCTATTACTCCCCAATTATCAAAACCATTGATTTTAATTTTCGATAATTGTTATTTGAAAGATATGCAGCGCAAATGAGACAATCGGCCGTGTATCTGCATCAAACTCCTCAGCAACACCAGCAACAGAGGAATCAGTCCCTCTCGCGTGCAACAACACCCTCGAAATCCTCACCGAGGGTGGAAGAGCCAAATGGACCAATTGGCATGAATGAGATGCCCTGTGCAACTCGTCGCCCTCAAAGAGAACTTGTTTACCGTCAACACCCAATGACAACACAGTCTCTACAAAGATACACAGAGTTAGTGACCTAATTCGACTCTTCATTTCTCTTACCGCTATTTTATGTTTTATTTCCATCCATCCATCAACCAAAAAAAGTTTTGTTCATTATTAATTCTTATCTGTCATCGGGAGCCTCATTATTACAGAATCATTTTTCCCTGTTGAAAGATTCGATCGAAGTGATGAAACTGAGACTGAAATTTGAAATTCGATACTGAATTCGATAATCCCCTTATTATCCGCCTCCTCTTTTCTATCTCGGTACGGATTAATTTGGCATGTCAACAGCTTGAATGAGACAACCATCTGACTTTAATCCTCTCTTCTGTTCCCACAGTGCATCAACCAACGAAGCTATGATGAGACGTTCGTTGCGTGAGAGAAGTTACGAGCCCTCATACCGCGATACCGTACTCCACGGAGACAGCGGTACAGTACCAAGACGAGTGGCACGTAATTACGAAAGCCAACAGACAACACCCAGCAACAGAATAGTCGATGTTACGTACGGATCACACAGTTATCATGGTGAACATGGCCCCAGGCGATACAGTGATCAACAGTTCGCGAGATCGGCATCAGCCCGTTTGCCCAGAACTCGACATCCAACTCTTGATAACACTGATGATGATGATTACAGTGACAGAACAACTGGTCAGGGGTCACGAGACGGCGAGAGAAGGATCCAACAAGTGAGTTTCACTGTCAATTAATTCTTCATGTACTTGACTGAATGGTAAAAAAATTGAAACTTTGAAAATCGTCAAAATTTTATTCCAAACAAACCGAGGAAAGCCTCAGGAAGAATGTGGAATTTCAAGTAGGGAGATAACTAGGATATTCAACTCATTGGTAATGCAAGTTTTTGTAATAGAGCAATGGGGGGAGAGAACTAGTTTCTTAAAGACTATACCTGTGATTCATACCGTTTAACATCAGTCAGCACTGACTCACAACTTTGGAGTCGTCTTCCAGCTGATTCATAGAATTCTCGGGGCAGGTAAAAATGCATCGACTACGGTCATTCTTACTCGCGTCACGCATTTAAGCTTTCACCTCACTCGAGGAACTATTATTATACGTTCATACTAAATGCTGAGGCAGGTTAGAGGAGGCGCAGACGGTTTGGATCGGTCATTGAGGGACGAGGCAGTTCTATTCCATCTGGATTACGTGTGTTATGTGGGTGTTGCCGTGATGTCAGTGATTGAATAAACGTGAGGTTTATTGGCACGAGAAATTCGAGTGATTGTTCTCCAGCCGGGAATTTAGTTCGAAGGGATATTGATCGGAATTTAGTCGATGCAATCGAATATTGAATTTCTGGGCGACTCAATTTCCGGTCGAATCGATAATTATATCCCAATGAAATTCCTCCAATCGCTCTGTTTTCTCCCCAATGACAACTTTTTAGTGATTTTATCTAAATTTATCTCGGATAATCAAATTGGTTTCATTCATTAAAAAAAAAATCGGAAATAATTTTAATGGTGAACTCCGACTGTAATTAAATCTATTCGCCATTTTTGATAATCAGTCATGACTCAATTCAGATGATCAATTGAATTTCTGTATTTTCAGCGTGAAGAATCAATGAAACGTCTTCTGGAATGGAAGCAGCGAATGCTGCAGTCACCCCTGACGCGTAAAACAACGGGTGCAACGAATGGTGTGACGACAGCACAAAGTGAATTATCGAATTACTACAAACGTCAAGTGTTACTCGATCTAGCTGCTCATGAAGCTAGTGTAGCTGAAGCCCGTCACTCGAGACGACGAGATGATAATTCACATCGGCCCCATACGAGAAGCAAGAGCTCAGATGGACGTAGATCAGTGGTGAATGTATCGAGATACAACAGCTACTCCAGCGATGACGAAGGTAGGGAGACATCATCCCCCGAGCTTATTATCTGATGCTTTCAATCTAATGTTCAAATGCGTCTGTCAATCGTTACGGCAATACGTTATTTTTGTCGCTTTAACTTATCACAAAGGTGAATAACAATTAACCGAATTAGCAATAGAATAAACTCCACGATTGTGTGAATGACTGAATCGTCATTCTCCTGACGCGCCTCCACTAATTGTAATGCTATAGACGATCTGTGACTAACCAGTGGACAAACTGAGGGACACAAACACCAGATACTTTGTCCATTAAACCAAGGTTAATGTGACGTGCTCATGTAGCTAATTGAAAAATCCGTAGAGTCTGACAATACGACGAATTTACTCTGAGTCAAGTGAATCTCAAACAATGGTGGTAGTTGAGCAAAGTTGAGGATTTTTTTTTTCCCCTCCCTACGTATTCTCCCTCTCATCTCTGGGCTGTGCTGGGGGTCTGGGTTCGCCCTGGTGGATGGACATTATTAACAATTAACTAATTGAGAACATGTATTTGGGCTCTGATACTGGTGCATGGCATGGCCAGAGGTGCACACTAACAATTGGTTAAGACACTTTACACTCAATTCGTATTTTTCATTTGGTGATCACAAGATTTCTACAAATTCATTGAATTCATGTAACTACGGTGCCCGATTCAGTTACACAATATTTATAAAACAATAATAATCTGATTCAGCTCTATTTAAAATTGCATAAAATTTACTTCTTTATTGATTAATTAATGTCTCTTAATGAAAAAAAAAAATTGAGAAAACATTCAGAAGACTTTGTCGCATATATCGGCGATCGGTATTATCTTTGCATAATGGATATTAAGATCACCGAATGAAAAAGAATTGATCGTGTAAAAGCACCTGGTCGATGTTACATTTATTCTTATTTACCGGTTGTAATCAGAGCTCGATGATGTCCGGAGGAAGCGAACACGCAGACCCTCGCACGCAGGTCGAAGTCCCCGTCATTCAGATGAGACTAATGGAGCTCTTCAGGGCCAGCCAACCGTCACATTTTCCTCAGCGATACCCCCCGACGCCGGTTACGAGGAGGTCTCATTTCCACCTCAAGAGCCGCCAGCCCCAAAAAATATTCCCACAGCGGAAAATTTCGTAGTGAAAAATTCCAAGAAGCCAGGCATCCTGAAAACCCCCTCATCCTACCCCAATCGATCGTCAACAAAACCAGATGGGGGAAGATTAAGTGCATTAGCCGGTGAAGCATGGCAGAAAACTAAAAACGTTCAGTGGGATTCCAATGAGGACAAAGAGAACTGGGATTCGAGAATCGATGAGAGTAAAGTCATTAAGGAATTCTCCTATGAGTACATTAAGCCTGAGGTCGGTGATATTGAGAATGATAACTGGGAGGGTAATTTGGTTCAGAGCAGAATAAAGTCATTTGAATGTACTATTGAGGATGGCAGTCCAATTAAAGAGATGCTCTCAATGCAAGAGCCTCTGAAGGTGTCACCACCGCAGGCAACGGAGGCTCACGTGTCACGATTAGACTCAGCTCGAGTGCCTCCAATCATCCGAAAATTCGCTCTAGCTGATGCTAGATCTAAAACACTTGAAAATCCACCAGAAGAGACAGTAGAACAGAGAAACGATGGTGGTAAATCGGTTAAAGATCTACTCGCTGATTTTGAAAGAAAATCTCAACAAGTGCGTAATCAAGAAAACAATAAGCGAGATGAGATAAAACACCGGGGGGTCTTCAGTGACACTGAGACACTTCTTTATGACACAGGAAGCGATCTCGATCTACCTGATAAGAGTGAAGAAGAAGTTGAATCGGATAAGGCGTTAGAGTACAAAGAGGTTCACACCAGTACGATAAAGCGTAACCACTTGGATAAGAAGATTGAGGAGAGAATCGATGAAATTAAGACAAATTTAAATGACAATCAGGTTGCGATTGAGGGTTTGGGGGAGGGTGCAGATGCGTTTGCCAGATTGAGTATGACAGAGTCGATGGTCACTCATGGAGATAATTTGTCTGGTGAGAGTGACAGTTCAACACCAAAGATCGATGATATCAATCCGGAGGAGCATTATCTACCGATGTCACCGAGAAAAGCTATCTTGGATCCTAATAACGACGACAGGCCTGATCCAAAGATGATGGAGAGTTTATTTGCTAATTTGCGACACGAGGAGAGCTCTTACGTTGAAATGACGCAAAATGGAAGGGGTCGTTCTCTCTTAGCACCCAGCGGAGACACTAAACTTGACTCTGGGGATTATTCAACGTTGGAGGCATCTCACTACGAGTTTGTGTGTGTTGCAGATAATAAAGTCGAACCTGTTTACATGGAGGTGAGTCAATTAGCCGAGCAAGATCAGCATAATTCTCAAATACCTAAGAAAAAAGAATCGACAAATGGTCAAATTCGTAGTGATCTGCCGGATATATTGACGGCATTAAAGTCTGATAGTTCCGACGCCGACGACGAGTCGTCCAAGGATTTGGACTCTATTGATGCACCGAGACACCCTCGATTCAGCTTATCCGATACATTCAGACCTGCATCCTACTATCTCAGCACCAGTAGAACGATAATAGCCGAGATGCAAGACTCTTCGGATAGTGAACTAGTATCGCCCCCACCGATACCCACATCTCCACCGCCTCTCGACGATTTGGAATCTCTAGAAATGCAGGACACGCTGGAATCCAAAAAATCATCCCCACAAGTACCTGTTAATCGGGACTCTAGGAGTCAAAATAATTTAGAGACACATAGGCCACCGTCAAGATTCTCAGATGGCACCATCAGCTCAACCTTCAGGGACAGTAGAATTTCCCTGGAGAGTGCGTCAGGTAGTGACACCTTGGATCCTCGAAATCTCGACGAGGAGGAGAGACATAGAAGAATGAAACGGAGGCCAGTGAGTGATGGAGTCTGCGAGGTACTCGATAGTTTAGAAGAACTGGAATCCCTTGGAAGTCGTTTCGATGGTACCAGTATCGATCTGGATCAATATCTCGAGGAACTGCAAGCTCGTGACGCTTTCAATGTCGATCTATATTCAAAGGACTTGAGTTACAACAGCATTTATGGATTCAATGAGAACATGCTGATGGCCGACAAGGTTCACAAGACTTCACAGGAAATATCCAAGATTAACCTGAACTCAAGTACCTTAGACCAGCCTTTCACGTACCAGTCGCGAACAAAAACAAGCTCGGTTTCCTCTCTGCCATCGATGAGGGTCAGTGACACACCTCCGAGTCACCAACACTCTCAATCCTTCACCGGTGACGCTCACTACGAGAATGTCAGCTTCTCCCCACTCCCTGGATCTCCGGCAATTCGTCAAGAACAACAGCAAAATCGAGAAAATCGAGAAAATAGAGAAGATACGAGGAGCAAGAGTCGTTCGCAATTATCTCACAACAGAGATCCGAGTTACCCGATAACATCGAACGCTGTATCAATGGCTTCGACCATCTCTACTACAACTTTATCACCGATGGTGTACGGCCAGCGGAACCAATCGCCTTATCACGACCAGAGACCCAAGCATCACTCAAGATCGGCGAGCCAAGACTCAACGAGGTACACATTAACTCCGAATCATAGATCATCATCCAGTCAAGATTCCAATAATCCAGTTTCCTCTTCTGGCGTGAAAACGCCATCTCAATCCTTGCTGTCCAGGAGTTCGCCAGCTGTTCATCCTGTTAATAATCCGAACAGTGGTCAAGCGGATCAGGATAACGATCAGACAGGTGCCCCTTACTATTACTCCGATCTTCAGGCCGGTGTGAGCTCGATCGATACCCAATCACGTTCGATTCAAACGTTCATTGCTCACACCTCTAGGTTACCGCAGTTGAATAATCAAAGGGGTGATTCCACTGCATTGAGCAAGCGAAATGACATTGGAAGACTTGTGAATCCAATCGTGAGACAAATACCGAGGAGAGCGGAAGTGGATGATATCGACGAAGCGAGGAGAATTGCCGCTGAGCTCAGGAAGAACTCGTCACAATTTTTAGTTGACAACAAATCTGGATTGGTTGATAAGAGAAATTTTTACGAGGCTGATACACTGCGACGAGTCAAATCGACAGATCCTTTGCCGGATGTTCCTCTTCCTGACGTCAGCAATGTTAATTTATACCCGCAGGGGCTGCGTGACAAATCAGGAAGTCAAACGCAATTAACAGCAGGCGATACTCAAGAATCCGTGCATTTTCCTCAACCAAATCATCGAAGATCACGCTCATTGGAGGGATTGCTGGATGACGTGGAGCTCCAGAATTTGGTGGAGCAGAGGAATTGGGAGAATCGTGAAAATCGAGTGTCCTCGGTTCCACCCACGAGAATGATGGAACAGCACGATGAGTCATTCACGTTTGCGAGGATAAATTCAGAGGAGCCGTTCCAAGGAGAAGATACTTGGGAGCAGGATACCCTCTGGAGGGAGAGTTTGAGAAGAGTCAGTTTGAGGCATGCGAGATCATTGGATAATCTGGATACTCCTGCATCCAGACCCGATGGAAGTGGCTCAGAGACTCCGGACACGAGAGGACGGGCCAAAATAACTCGAGGTGCGACCTATGTCAATGACAGTATTTCACTGCAACGTTTGTCATCACCGGAGAATAGCCAAGAGCGTTCCAGAGTGTTGAAGAGAGGAGATACTGAGGATAATGGTAATGAGGAGGACGATGGTGCTTATGAAGCCCTCACTATGGATCGAACAACCGGTGGTTATATTTGGGACCCAGAGAATGAGGCGTACAAACTTGAATCAGTGAATACCAATCATTTTTTAGAGGAAGGCAACCTTCGCCCCGTGCCACAGCCACATCGTCGATCATTCGAGCTAGATCGAGAGAAATTACGTCAATGGGATCTACTGTCGAGCGCTTGCTTACTCCAGGAGCAGCAGCGAACATCAATGGCAGAGTCGGGGCGAGGGTTGCCAGTGTCAGGAAGATGCGACGAGGAAATGAGCATTA